CAGAATTAGAATGAAATGTGAGAAAAGCTGGAGTCAGAGAATAAATAGAGAACTCAGCACTTTTTTAAGCATAAAGAAAAGAAAAATTCAAGTCTCAAATTGCAATACGAAGAGATGCTATGGGCACAATCTTGAATGCTCTAGTAAGTGTCAAAAGAACAGGGAAGGGTGTGAAACACAACGTATGTGAACTTTGTAAGCAAACCAATATAAAATAAAAAATTTAGAAAGATGGAAGGGATACACAGAATCATTGTACTAAAAAGAGTTAGCTAAAACAGAAAAATTTCAAGAAGTTCTGTATGAACTAGAGCCAACGGTGATGAAAGATGAAGTTAAAGTTGCACCAAAGGCATTAGGAAAAAATAAATCCCCAGTAATCAATGGAATACCAATTAACTTGTGTCAACTAAAAAACACAGCCCTGGATGTGCTAGGAAACTTGGAGCACAGCTACCTGGGTGACTAACTGGAAGAGATCCATAATTGTCCCCATTTCCAAGAAAAGTGACCCAACAGAATGTAGTCATTATCAAACAATATCATTAATATCTCATGTAAGAAAAATATTGCTGATGATCATTCAAAATTGGCTAGGGCAGTAAACTTACAGGGAAACTGCCAGATGTTCAAGCTAATTTTAGAAGAGAATATGGCACTAGGGTTATTATTACTGAAGTCAGATGCATACCGGCTGAATGCAGAGAATGCCAAAAGGGTATGCATTAGGGTTGTATCCTTTCTTCATAGTTATTCAATCTGTAAGCTGAGTAAATATGCAGAGCCAGAGTGTATGAAGAAGAATGTGGCAGAAAGACTCAAAGACCTGTGTTACACAGATAACACAACTTTGCTTGCCGAAAATGAAGAGGATATGAAATGCCTGCTGCAGATCAAGGAGTATAGATTTTGGTAGGATTACCTCTCAGCATCAAGAAAACAAAGGTCTCACTACAGGACCAACAGTCAAGATTATGATAGATGGACAAAGGATTGAAGCTGTCAGTGACTGCATCTTGCTTGAATGAACAATCAACACTCCTGGTACCAGCCATTAGAAACCAGAAGTATTGCATTGGGCAAATCCACTCTCAGGGACATCTCCAAAATGCTGGGGCGGGGGTGGGGGGGAAGATGTCAGTTTGAAGACTAAGGTGTGTCTAATTCAGGCCATTGTCTTCTCGACCACCTGTTATGCATCAGATAGCTGGGGAATGAGTAAGGATGACAGAAGAATTGATGCCTTAGTGTTGGAGAAGAGTATTGAACATCCCATGGATGGCCAAAGAGTATTAAACATGCCATGGACAGATAAGTATTGGGAAAAGTGCAGCCAGGGTGCTCCTTGGAGTCAAAGGTGGCAAAGCTTCATCTTTATTATTTTGGACATCTAGCTAGGAGAGACCTCATGTTTGGAAATAAGGCGGGTCAGTGAAGCTATAATATCAGCTATGATATGTCTTGATTTTTTTTGGGGGGGTCTAGTCTGTTTGGGGCTTGTGGAGCTTCTATTTTTATATATTTAAATAAAATTTTTATTTTATACTGGTTTACTTACAAAGCTCGTATACATTGTTTTTCACACCAGATCTTTCCCATTTTCTTTACTAACCCCTCCTTCTACCCATCAAATTGTGTGATCCTATTTAACCTTCCCCATTCTCACCCCTCTCTTTCCACATCCCCCACCCCCACTCCTTGGATCCTCATACACGTTCTACAATAATGGTCTTATACGGTATTTGTCCTTAATGGACTGAGCTCACTTAGCATAAATGCTTTCCAGTCTCTACCAAGTTAGATTGTGATTTACAAAATCATAGTCCTGGTGTGCTAAGTACTATTCCATTGTGTGAATGTACTATAATTTTTCAATCCATTTGATTGTGGTTGGACATTTGGGCTGTTTCCACGTTCTTGAGATGGTGAATAATGCTGCTATGAACATTGGCGTACAAGTCTCTATTTGTGCCTCAATTCTCATTTTCTCAAGGTATATTCCAGGCAGTGAAATAACTGGGTCATATGGAATTTTGATATTTTTGCTGAGCATTTTGAATATGGATTTCTTCATTCTTCATGACACCTGGGAAATTTTCTTCTTTCATAATTTTCTCAGTGTCCTACCTACCCCTATCATGTTTTGGTTTTCTGATCACGAGTATGTTGTTCCTTTGATGTTATCTCACATTGCTCAAACATTTTCTTTATTTTCCTTCTATGTCCTCTCTGGTTTTTTCTTCTAGTATGTTTCCATTCTAGTATATTTTCTTCCAGCTCACCGACTCTCTTTTCTATTCAGCTTTTCCCCACTTTCCCATCTGGTAATTTTATGAACTTTGAGAAATGACAATAGTTATAGAAAGACTTCAGGTCTTTTGTTCATAGGGTTGCTATAAGTCATGCTCTACTCAACAGCAATCATCAACAACAACAATATATTGAAAACATCTATCATTATGGTATTGACATTCTGGATTGCATTTTCATACATTTCTGTTATTTCCAGTACTGTTTTGGCTATAGACTCTCAATCATGTGATGATTTTTAAAAATTTTCTACTGCTTTATCTATGCTTTCAATTCTCTCTTCAAGCATTTGCAATTTCTTCAGTAGTTGTTCATCAATATATTTCTTCTGGCTCTCTGTCTCAAGGGTATTCACTCTATTTATGGCTTCCATTTGTTCTTCCATCATTATATATTTTTCCGTAGCTGATCATATAACTCCACATCAGTATATTTCTTCTGGCTCCCTGTCTCAAGAGTATTCATTTATGGATTGCATTCTTTGTTCCATCATTTGTACCTTTTTCAGTACCTGTTCATATACTTCCATGCCAATATATTTCTTCTGCCTCACTATCTCTAGGGTATTCATTGAGTCTGCAATATATTCTGCTTTTTTAGGAGAAGGCTTGTTTAGTTTTTTCACAATTATGAAAGCTCCTTGCTGCTTTTTTGACATTAAGTAAGATTCATCCTCAGTATGTTTTGGGCCATTTCTGTTGTGTCTGCATAGATTGTTGATAGTTCTTTATCTTTATCAAGTTATTGATTAGATGCAGGCTTAAAGTGTTCCCTTTATGTAGGAGGGCAACTCACTGTACCAGAGGTCCTTTTGATTCTGTACAGTGGGAAAATTCACCTTTTCTAAATTCCTTCAAGTGCTCTTTGGTCTCCAGTACAGCCCAGAGGAAATCTCTCCTGAGTGCAGCCTGATGGTGGTATCAGTTTCCTCAACTGATGCAGTTTCTCTCCAAGGGAGGCTCAGGTAGCTCCCTCTCAGCACCTCAGTGTGCCCTCTCTAGTCAAGCTCAGCTTTGGGGGAGTCTATTACCTGAGTGAGGCATGTCTCTATTAAAGTTTATTATTGTCTTTTGTGGTCAGCATGCATAGTCTGTGACCAGCTTCCTCAATTGACGCAGTTTCTTGTTCACTTGTCTTAATGTTTTACATTTTTAAAAAATTGCTTTTATCATCAAATTCATTGTGACCCCATGTGACAGAGTAGAACTGCTCCATATGATTTTATAGGTTATAATATTTAGATGAGGGAATCTCTCTTGGCTTAGTGGTGAGGAGTTGTGACCCCAAAGGTGCGTGGTTGGAATCCATAAACGTCTCCAAGGAATAAAGATGGGCAATCTTCTCCCTTGTGATTTACTGCCTCTGAAAACCCACTGGAGGGTCAGCTATGAGTCAGTTCACACCCAAAGGAACATAACAATCTTATAAGGAACTTTGGTGCCGTACTCCATGAGAATTGTGCCGCTAACCCAAAAGGTGGTACTTTTCTTTGAATCCACCAGCTGCGCTGTTGGAGTTGTTTTTGTTATGCACCATTGAGTCAGAATTTATTCATAGCTGATATTCCACTAGGTTTTCAGAGGCTTTAAAATCACCCAGAAGTAAATTGCCCATTTTTCTCTAGTGGAGCAGCTGGTGGACTTGAACAGTGTGCCTTTGGGTTGGCAAGGCAACTCCTTACTACTAGGTTACCAGAGCTGGGTTGTCTCTTCCAATTCCATTTACAGCCTCCAAAAACTCACTGGAGGGTCAGTTATGAGGTGGTTCCCACTCAACAGCAATGAGAAAAAAAGGAATTTTTTTATGGAAGAAGATTGTCAGGCCTTTTTTTCCTATGGAGATACTTGTTTTTGTTGTGCAATATCAAGTCAGAACCATAGTTGACCCTCTTTCGGGTTTTTAGAGGCAGTTAATTGCAAAGGAAGAGACTGCCCATCCTTCTACTCTGGATCAGCTCGTGGATTCAAAGCACAGCACATGCCTTCAAGGTAGCATCACAGCTTCCTACCACGAGGCTACCAGAGCTCCCTTGGATTCATATTGATAACCTTTCAGTTAGTAACCAAGCACTTAACTGTTTACAGCACTATGGTCCCTTTGAATTTTATTAATATGATGTAATAATTTTATGACTAAAGCAATTTGAAAATAAATTACACTTTCAAAATTAAATACTAAAAGAGAAAAACTTCTATAATTTGAAAGCCATAACTTACATGTTCAGAATGTTCTTACAATCTAAAAGCAGGACAGGATTTGCCATTATAATGTGAATGAACTGGAATGGATTCTGAATTTTGCTCTAGGTTTGTATTCATTGAGAAAAACCAAAGCAAACAAACTTAAATGGGTAGAGAGGATCATTCTATACTTGTCTGGGCTCCTAACAAAAGCTGGAGAACCTCTCAGAAATCTTTGAAGAAGTAGAAATAATTTTCATCCCGGTGAGATGACGTCAGTATGAATGTGCTTAGAGATAGGAAATTGAGTGAGATAATCCCTTAAGGAATTAGAGTAAAAAAGCCAAAAGGTATAGAGGGAAAATTTTTCTTAGTCAAGTTGGCTTGTTTCCTTAGCATTAAAAGTCTCTGCTCAGGAAAAGCAACATAAACTAGCTACACGTGGAACCATGAGGAGCAACTTTTTTGTGAAAAGCCCTCTTTCCATTTCAAGCAAACCCCTTGACCCACCAGCACTCTTCCTGCAGGCTTGCTGGTTACATTTTTGGAATTCTGGAGGTTTGGGTTCATGATCACACAGACAGCCCTCTTGGTCTTCAGTTGTATTGTCCTCTGAGGAAACACAATGGACAGTCCTCTTCTGAAGGCCACCTCCACAGGAAATGGTGCACTGAAAAAAGGAGGGACACAGAGAGTCAGAATTCTTTTCTGAATCACTAGGAGACACCAAAAAGTTTCCCACTGTTGGCAAAATGGGCAACACTGAGTTTTCAGAAACCTCCTTGAAAGAATCAATAAAGAGAACTGGAGAACCAATACTTTGGAAATGCAAATTTGATAAGTTCTTGTTAGGCATCATCCAGTCTAGCATGATTCATAGTGACCCTGTGAACAACAGATCTGAACCCTGTCCTATCCTGTGCCAACCCCACAATCTCTGGCACACTCACATCTACTGCTGGAGTCACTGTGTCAATCTACCTGGTTGAGGCTGTCCCTTCACCTTTCCAAGCACGATGATTCCAGGAATAGCTTCTCCTAGCAATATGACCAAAGAATGTGAGAAAAATTTAATAAGAATTCTGTATTGTATCAGCATGGATTGAATTCAGCTCAATTTATTAAGAGGCTCTCTAGAGAGTATGTGTTCTCCCCCTCTCTATTTGGTGATGACCTCCTCATTCCTACCCATTTGCGATGCCATTGGTATTTGGGCAGCCACATCAGAACACTGAAGCATGTGATAGTAATGATGTTTTTCAATAAGCCCTACATCCTGTCCAATCATTGTTTTTTGGAAGCTCTCCTTGCCAGAAGGCAGGAGCGTGGTGGTGGGAGTGCAGGAATCGTGGCAAGCTTTTGGAGCGGACTGCTTTTCCGGGAATGTGTTTGATGTGCAGGTTTGCTCTGTCCCTGGACTGAGGCTAGCCAGCCTGAGCCTAGGGTTTGAACCAGGAGGCGGCCTTAAGCCCAAGGCAGCTGGGAAGGAAGCGGTCATGTTGTTCCTGGTTTGGCTGGCGCCTTCCCAGGCTCGTGGGAAGCTCTCCTTGCCAGAAGGCAGGAGCATGGTGGTGGGAGTGCAGGAATCATGTCTTCCTGTCAAACATTCTTCTAGGTGGTATAGCACTGGTCTGTACATTGCTGTACAGAGGTAACTCGTGGTTGCTGTGATGCTGAAGCCTGTGACAGTGATGTGCCAATTGTGGTAATGGGCACCCAAGGTGGACAGTGTTGGCTGGAGCTTTCCGACTAAATCAAGCCTGGAAACAGGACCGGCATCCACTTCCAAAATGGCTTGCCTCTGGAAACTATGTACGAACAGTGTTCAGGCTGTTCATTCATAGGGTCGCTATGAGTCGTCTACGACTCAACAGCATTAAACAACAACAACAACAACAACAACAATTGGCAAGTACATATTAAAAGGCGCATTGCCATGGGAGAAAGTCTGCTGTTAGGGACCTCTCCAAAGTACTGAAGAGCAATGGTGTCTCTCTGGAGACTAAGGTATGTCTGATACAGGCCATGGTCTTCGCAATCACTTGTTATGCATCAGAGAGTTGGACAATGACCAAGGAGGATAGAAGGAGAATTGATACCTTTGAGCTGTGGTGCTGGAGAAGAGTATTGAGAATACCATGGACTGCTAGGAAAACAGATTTGTCCTGGAAAGGGTTAAACCAGGTGGCTCCTTGGAGGCAAGGATTCTGAGGCTCTGTCTAACATACTTTGGACATGTTGTGAGGAGAGACCGGTCCCTAGAGAGGGACATCATGCTTGGGATGGTGGAGGGACAGCACAGGAGAGGAAGGCCCTCTATGAGGTGGATTGATTCAGTGACTGGCATAATTGGGATGGGAGTGTCAGAGACAGTGTGATTGGCACAGGACAGAGCAGAGTTTAGGGCTGTTGTACATAGGGTCGCTATGAGTTGCAAGAGACTCGATAGCACATAACAACAACAACAACATTGGCAAGTGGAACATGAATATCAGCAGAATACTACTTTCAGAGCTCATGTGGAACCTGTACATAAGCCAAGGGTCAATAGTTTGACTGGCCAAGGGGACACTGAGTGGTTTAAAATCAGGAAAAGGGTGAGTCAGGGTGGTGATTTGTCATCATGCTTTTTCAATCTGTATACTGAGCAAATAATCTGAGAAAATGGACTATATGAACAATATTGCACCAGGATTGGAGGAATATTCATTAACTACCTATGATACAGAGATGACACAGTCTTGCTTGCTGAAAGTGAAGAGGACTTAGAGTACATAATAATGAAGATCAAAGAATACATAGAGCCTTCAGTATGAATTACACTTCACATTAAGTAAAAAAAAACCAAAAAAACAAAAAGAAAACCAAAGAACAACTCTCACCACTAGACCATGAAGCAACTTCGCTGCAAATGAATAAAATATAGAAATTGTTATAGATTTAATTTTACTTGGATCCACCATCAATGCAAACAGCAACTGAGAAATGAAATTATGCACTGCTATGACAAATATCCTTTCAAAGATTTCTTTAAAATGTTAAATGGCAAAGATATACTTTGAGGAATAAGGTGAACCTAACATATAACATGGCATTTTCAATTGTCTCTTGTGTCAGTGTTGTATATTTTCTCCATACCTATTCAATCTATATGCTGAACAAATAATTTGAGAAGCTGGGATCTATGAAAATGAATGGGTCATCAGTATAGAAGAAAGACTCATTAAGAGCTTGCACAATCCTACTTGCTGAAAGTGAGGAAGACTTGAAATATTTACTGCAGAAGATCAAGGAGTACAAAATCTCACCACTGGACATCATGATAGATGGAGAAAAAGATTGAAATCATCAACAATTTAATCTTACTTGGATCCTCAATCAACACACTTGGTACCAACAATCAGGAGATAAGGAGATATGTTGTATTCAAAAAGTCTGCAGTCAGGGACCTCTCCAAATTACTGAGGAGCAATAATGTCAGTTTGAAGGCTAAGGTATGTCTGAGTCAAGCCATGGTCTTTTCAGTCACTTGATATGCATCTGAGAGCTGGACAATGACTAAGGAGGACAGAAAAATTATTGATGTCTTTGAGTTGTGATTTGGAGAACAGTAATGAATATCCCATGGACTGCCAAAGGAATAAACAAATATATTTTGGAAAGCGTGCAGCCAGAGTGTTCACTGGAGTCAAGGATAGTAAAGCTTGTTTTCTCATACTTCTTCTCTTGTTAGGAGAGGCTATGCTTTGGAAAGAGATATCAATGCTAGGAAAGGTAGAGGGAAACCCTCCACGAGATGGATTGACAACAACAACAACGTACTTGAGTGTGTCAGAGATGATGAGGACAGCACAGGATAGGATAGGCTTCAGATCTCTTGTTTATAGTGTTGCTATAAGTAGTACTTGAAGGCATCTAAAAAAAACTTATGCCAGACAATGAATGAGAAAGACCAAAGAAAAAAGTGATGTTCTTGAACTGTGGTATTTGCAAAGAATGTCAAACATGCTACGAACTTAAACTTGTCTTTGAAGAAGTATAGCCTGAATGCTCCTTAGAAGCAAGAACAATTTCAAAGGAACTACCCATGAGTAATACTTGGTCTTAAGTACATTGAGTGTGTTGTTAGGAAGGACTAGCTCATGGAGAAGGACAGCAAGCTTAATAAAGTGGAGGGTCAGCACAAAAGAAGAAGAATCTCAGTGAAATGGTTGACACAATAACAATGGGCTTATGAACAACAGCAATTGTAAGGAGATCGCAGAACCACACATTACATTCTGTTGTATGTGTGGTTGCTATAATTTCAACACACGGAAAAGAGAAGCATCACAAAATGTTTCTTCACATTTACAGCTCTATTTTTTCCCGATCTTTATAAATTAAAGGTGAGAAACTTGGGGCTTCATGTTTATGTAATAAAATAACTGTATTCTCATAAAACTGTAAATTCTCATCATTAAACTTGAAATTTTATTAAAAACTATTCAATGAATTGAGCTCAGGTTCTCCATTGGTATGGAAACAAAACAAATAGTAAAAATATAACTAACTGAACTTGGGTGCAGATGACATAACCATGCCCACTAAAAGTGAGTAAGACTTGAAGTGCTTACTGCAGAAATTGAAGGACTATAGCCTTCAACATGGACTGCACCCCAATATAAAATAAACAGAAATCTTCACCACTGGGCCAACAGGCAGCATCATGACAGATGGCGAAAGGACCAAATTTAATGATTTCATCTTACTTAGATCAATGGTCTGGGCACCACTAGTCAGGAAATCAAAAGATAAGTGGCACTGGGAGAAATCTGTTGTCAAGGATCTCTCTAAAGTGACAAAGAGCAATGATGTCAGTCTAAAACCTAAGGTGTGCCTGATCCAAGCCATAGTCTTTTCAATTGCTTGCTATGCATATGGAAGCTCAAGAGTAATAAGGATGACAGAAGAAGAATCAATTCATTTACACTGTGGTGCTAAAGAAAAGTGTTCCAAGAGAACAAATAGGTCTTTCCTGGAGAAAATGAAATCAGGGTTCTACTTGGAGGCAAGGATAGTGAAACTCTGTCTCACATACTTTGCATATGTTATCAGGTGAATCCAATCCTTGTAGAAAGACATTGTGCTTGAAAAGGTGCAGAGTCAGTGTAAAGACAGAAATACCCTCAACGAGATACACTGACACAGTGACTGTAGCAACGAGGTCTGGTGGGTTGGAGATGGTGAAGTTGGCTCAGGACAAGACAGAGTGCAGAGTCATTTTTCATAGGTTCACTATGAATTGTAGTCAACTTGATGATACACAACAACAATAATAACAAGAGTGCAGCAGGGGACAGAGAGAGGATCAAGGGAAATTAATCAAGCTGGAATATGATAACAAGTATGGAGGGACGTTCAGAAGCTATGGGCTGTTCTTATTCACTGCATACTTTCTTGGAACATTCACTGAACCTCTTTGTTTCCTCATCTGTTCCATAAGCTAGATGAAGGCCAAACGACTTCCTTCTCCTCTGTCTGCTTTTAAAGGTCTGGTTTGCAGGTCCTGGTAGAACTAGGCAGAACCAGTGTATGATGCTGACGTCATGGAAATCACCCCTTACTCAGTCCCACCCTCGGCCAGTGCACATTAAGATGTTAAGAACTAATTTCAAGGCAAGCATGAAAATGAACAGAAGAGTTCACTGCTCATGCATTTAAACTCAATTAAAGGGACTTCTGATTAAGAAGTGGCATACATTTGCATTGTTTAATTGGAAAATTAAACAGGAAACATAATTGCTTATTTGGGTTCATTACCTTGTGGTAGTTCTGTGAAGACTGAAGAATTGATGCCTTTGAATTGTGGTGTTGGCCAAGAATACCCAGCATGTCATGGAGTGCCAAGGAGCAAACTACTCACCTTTGAGAAAAGTGCAGCCAGGCTGCCCTAGGAAGCAAGGCTGGCAAGACTTTGTGTCACAAGAGAAAGACATCATGCTTTATAAAGTGGAGGGTCAGGAAAAATAAAAAATCAGAGGAAGAAGCTCAAGGAGATGGGCTGACACGGTGGCTGAAGCCATGGGTTTAGTATACCTGTGATTGTGGGGATGGTACAGGATAGGGCAGTATTGTGTTGTACAGAGGTCACTTTACCTAGGAGCTGACTCAACAGCACCTAACAGCAACACTGAGAGTTGAAGTTTTAAAACAAAGGAACATCTTCTCTTACAAGGGGGAGTGATGGTTCAGGGGTAGAACTCTTTACCTTTATATGTAATCTCAAGTTAGACTCCCAGCTAATGTCCTTCATGCGCAGCCACCTCCTGTCTCTAAGTTTCAGGGGAACGTCCTGTCTAAGATTGACCAGGAAGAAATGTCTGGTGATCTCCTTTTGAAAATCAGTAAATAAAAACTCTGTGGATCACAGTGGCCTGATCCAAAAGAAATTCTGCCCAATTGACTGGGCAGTATTTTGTTCAGTTGTACATAGGGTTGTCATGACAACAGGCTGATTTGATAGTGACTAACAATAATCCTTCTCTTGGCACTCATATCCACTTTGGTTTCAATTAAACATGTACAATGCTGTATACCATAAGTTAGCATGGATTAAAATTGGTTGGCTTTTAGCAAAAGCTACTGTCTAAGGCTCCAAATGTCTCTCCACACTAGCTTCATTCAAACCTAGATGTTCTGTTCAATTAGATTATTTCTGTAGAAATCTATTTTTTCTTTTTTTTTTAGAAATCTATTTTTAATACAGCCCAATTACATTGGGTTCTAGAATTTTTTTAATAAGTTTTCTTTTATACTGGTTTATTTACAAAGTTCATATACATTGTTTTTACACCAGATCTTTCCCATTTCCTTCACCTCCCCCCATCCATCAAATTGTGAAAACCCTACAGTTAACCCCCAATCCTTACCCCTCTGCTTCCTCCCTCCCCACCTTGGAACTTCATGCTCATTCTACAACAATGGTCTTATACATGTCCAATTAGAATTTAAGGAATTCTTTAATTTAAATATCTCTGGAAATGCTGATTCTCAGAGTCCAACAGAAGAACAGTCAAGGCTTGCTCTGGGATAATCTGTAAATGAGATAGATGAAAACTGGATTCCATTATCATCAGAAGAGAAACCATCTGATGTAAACATTTTTACTAAATAATTTTCTGCAGTTACTAATAATATACAGCAAGCACTATTCTAAACACCACAGAAGTACCTTGAGTTCACAATCATGACAACTGTATAAAATTAGATTTGCTTTTTGCTTTTCCTGAGGTAGTAACAGATCTTCCTGCACTATTGTTGTTGGTGTGGGCTGTTGAGTTGCCTGAGACTCATAGCAACCCTATGTACAACAGCTCTGAATCCTGCTCTATCTTGAGCCAACTTCACGGTCTCTGATAAACCTACCCCCATAATCCCAGTCAATGAATCAATCTGTCTCATTGAGGGGCTCCCTCTCCTCTGCTGTCCCTTCAACCTTCCAAACATGATATCCTTCTCTAAAGAGTGGTCCTTCCTGACAACACGCCCAAAGTATATGAGATGGAGCTTCAAAATCCTTGCCTCCAAGGTGCAGCCTGGTTTCACCCTCTCTAGGGCAAACTTCTTTGTTCTCTTAGCAGTTCATGGTATATTCAATACTCTTCTTCAGCACCACAACTCAAAGGTATTCTATCATCCTTAGTCATTGTCCAACTCTCTGATGCATAGCAAGAACTGTGAAGACCGTGGCCTGGATCAGGTATACCTTAGTCTCCAGACTGATACTACTGTTTTTCAGTACCCTGGAAAGGTCCCCCTGCACTGTGCTGTAGTGCAATTACTTGCTTTTCTATGAATTTCCCAGCTATGGTCTTTTATTTACTACAAAACAATTATCTAGGGGCAATCTTGCAAGAGATTGGTTAGATATGATACAGTGGTTTTAAAATCTAACCAACAGAACCAACCTACTTGTGGTCTGCTGAGGACACCGGACACTTTGTGGCCCTGTTGGGAGCACTAGGCCACAAGATTGAAAAAGAGTTTGTTTCTACAAGAGTCTCTCAGAGGGTCAGGGTAAACTCACTACCATGAAGAGTGAGTAGTAGGTTGTAAAGAGGAGCAAGTTGTGTGGACTCAAGATTTCTGTGCTGAAAACCTCCTAGAGTCAGAGGAACGAGCTATAACACTGGAGAGAGAGAGAGTGGGCTCATCAGTGCAGGGAGAAGCAAAGGCCTGAGTATGCCTCATACAACATGCCTCTTCGCCCCTCTAACCTGGGGCTCATGGGCAGTGTGCACCCAGGTAATATGGCAGAAAGGAAGAGAATCACATGGGCCTCCATACTGTAAGCAGTAGAGGCTTAAAAAATAAGCCTTAGAAGGGTCAGATTTGGGCAAAGGGTTAGAAGATCCTATGAGGGGCTCTTCCCATTGACTCTGAGTCCCAGTAGCAAAATAGAAGCAAAAACACACATCATTTCAGGTCGTTACAATCCACTGACAATGGTTGCATTCCTGAGTTGTGCAATCATTCTCAACATCCATTGTTGAGCTTTTTTTCCCTAATTAACATAAACTCATTGTCCCTGAAATATTTCTGTCTAATCTTTTGAGTTGCTGTTGTGAATGTAATTAAATACATGCGTATCTCAAAAGAGCACAATGCTCAAGGAAGACATACTTTCCTAGGTACATGCAATAATTGTTTGGTTTCAAGTAGACTTCAGAGATATTCTTAGCTTGAAGGTGCTCTTAGGGTAGCTTTTCTGAATATTTTTATAATGAAGTTACTAGTTTTAAAATAGCAGATATAGTATTTTCTTATGTGTCTTCTTTTTTAAGAGGCAAAGGTAAACTGAGATGGACTATAGCAGTATCTTACCGGGTTCCAGCTCCCTACGGCCCAGTGACAGCAAGGGTGTGTGTTGCAGGGTGCAGTGGGCATGGGCCTTTCTGTCCAATCACAGAAGCCTCCAGGACAAGACACTCTTCTCTCCTGAACTCCGCCTCCACAGGACTTGGAACACTGACACAGAACAGGGACAGGATTGGGGAGAAAACCACATGGTGACAATTTCAATGGTAAGGGGAGAACATTTCCCACCCTAGGGAGCTCTAGTGGCTTAGTGGGTAAGCAGGTGTGTTGGCAAATCAAAGGCAAACAGTTCAAACCCACTAGCTACCCTGTGGGAGAAAGACGAGCAATCTTCTCTCATGCAGCTTACAGTCTCTGAAAACTCTCTGGAGGGGCAGCTATGAGTCAGCTGTAACTTGACAGCAATAAGAGTGGATGAGAGACAGTACTTGAGAGCAGTGTTTTAAAGAACTGTGGCTCTTCAGCATCCTTGCATATTCCTCACAGTGCGCACTCTGGGCATTTTAAGTTAGCAGAAGTGAAAATAAGATTAAATACAGAGAAAGGATGAAAAAAGAAATCTCAAGGATGAAAGAAGGAGGAAAATCAGAAGCAGCCCGAGAGTTCAATGTCAACACAGTATCAAAAGGAAAAATTTTGCTTCCAAGTCAAAACTACTGGTCATTCTGGAATGGACACCCTATTATCAAAGCTTTGCCTTTTGGAACAAACATCGAGAAACAAAACTGTAAAACACAGATGCTCTTTTTATTCTGATTAGCCGACAACACAAACAGGGAATATACAATTGTAATACAAATTTGTCCATCTGCTATTAAAATGAGATTCAGTTTTTCTTCTCATTATTTAAAGTCTCAGAGGTCTATTTGTCCATGCAAGATATGATGAAGCTGATGGCTCCGCTCAAGGCTCTGATGCACTGGCTGTAACCTTTGTAAAATCAACTTGAGCTAACAAGTTTCCTCTCCTCAAGTGGAATACTTCCCCCCCCCCCCAAGATGTGTCTGGCTTTTGCTCACCAGAATAATTTATAAAGTATAATGTCTCATTTTTTGGTGAAGTTTCCAGGAAGAATTCTTGGAAGAATGAGGGGCATCCTGTCATGATTTACAGCCTCAGGAGCCCAACGAGAGTTGCTATGAGTTGGAACTGATTTGAAAACAGCAAGTTGAATTTTTATCTCTCGAGAAAAGGAAATAATTCACTAAGAATCAAATACTCTTTTTAAAAAGCTGGGCTGTTTCATAGTAGCCCTGCCAGCAAAAATCATTGTGACTGTTGGCACCATGTCAACTGTATCACCACGGCATCATGTCACCATGTCTAGGGAGGGGTCCTATAAGCACAAACCAAACCTGCTGCTGGCCAGTTCATACTGACTCTTAGTAGTGTCATAGCACAGGATAGAATGGCCTCACAATTTCCAAGAAGCAGACACAAGGAAGTTAAAACTGATTAACACTTTCTGCCCAATAAAAGAATGAACTGCTTTCAGAATATTCCAACTTTGAAAATCAATATGGGGTTTCCCCCTCATTTATTCAATGTCTTTTCAAACCTGTTTGAGGAGGAAAGCATTCCCTATGTTGGTCTTTTGTAGACATCTGTCTGTCTGCAACCTGGTCTCCTGCCATCTAGGTTCTAGTATTCTTACCTGGCCCCAGGGCTCCACCTGCCACTCCTCACAGGGCTCCAGGTTACAGCTCATGCTCAAAGGGGGAGGAATCCCGGCCAGAAACTGGCAGTGAAACGGTCTCAGGTTCCGGTGGTCCCGGCTGTCCACACACTGAATCTCGCGGATCTTGAAGCCCCCACTGCAGTTTCTGGAGCACTGCATGGAGAGCAAAAGCAAGCAGATGCCTGAGTCCCTGGCATTCAGACCCCCATTCTTTGGAGGCACAGGAGGAGGTGACAGTGGGAAAGGGAGGGGGCTGGGTTGGGGCTTCACACAACACTTTAGGAACTCCAGGGCCTTGCCTGCCTGGCCTCATGAGTGACAGAGAGATAAGAAATGGAGATAGAGATAGAGATAAAGATGGAGATGGAGATGGAGATGGAGATGGAGACAGAGACTGAGGAGGGGGGGAAGATGAGGGTGAAAGGGAGGAGACGGGAGGGGAAGAGGAGGGAGGGGGGATAAGGGGTGGAGAGAGGGGGAGAAAGATGAAGGGGGAGAGAGAAAGAGAGAGAAGAGGGGGAGAATGAGAGGGCGAGCACAAGAGCAAGCACACACCAATGTTTTTATTTTAATTGCTTAATTATTTTAATTGTGATAAACATATATGTAACAAGAGAGTTCTGGTGGTGTGCTATTCCAAAGGCTGCACCTCTCTGGAGGTTTAAATCCACCAATACTTCCATGAGAGAAACATTGACAATCTCTGTGAGATTTACAGCCTCTGAAAATCTGCTGGAGGGTCAGCTGGGAGTCTTTCTGGCAATGAATTGAGTTGATAAATTGTTTGCCCTTTCAACATTCTTCACATCGATATTAGTTATGCTTGTCATGTTGTTCTGTCATTACTGTGATCCATTTCCAAGTCTCCCCATCAGAATATCCCCTAAGACTCCCCTAAGTAGAGAGTCCCATTTCCCTTCTCATCCACTTTTCCTTAACTGCTGAAGTTCTTAGTCGTCACAGAGACCCCGTGTGTCCCCACTGCTCCAGAGGGTTTTCAAGGATCTGCTTTTTCTGGAAACAAACCACCAGGCTGATCTTTTTGGGAATCTCTGGGGAACTGTCCATCCACTAGCCGTTTAGTTCTCAGTCAGTCTCGATAATGCAGTAGAAGGCTGTGCTGTCTGACAGAGCTAGAGGGACCTCTATTCCCGTCAGTGGTTTGTGGGAGCCCTGGGTAAGAAAGAAATGTTCTGAGGTTCAGGTCCTCTGTCTGGGATAGAACTGTTAACTTCACAGGCTGATGCGAGTGTTCTACACAGTATGGTGCTATGCCTGCGGGACCAACTGAGTGGGGGTGGCCACTCCCTTCTCTATGTCTGTATTCATTACAGGCATAGGCCTACCTCCGCCCTAGTACCGGGGCAGTTGGAATGCCCAACCCCAACAACAGGATGCATTTTCTGCCAGCACCATCCATTGTCTCTCTGAGTTGTTCTAAAACTCATTTTCTCCCTGACTCTAAAAATAGGATAGGTTCTGATGGGTGTTGTTATGTGCCATCTCATAGTGACCCTATGTACAACAGCTCTGAACCCTGCTCTATCCTGTGCCAAACTTACTGCCTAGGACACACCGATTCCCATTACCGCAGTCACTGAGTGAATGCATCTCATAGAGGGTCTTCCTCTCCTGCACTGTCCCTCCACCCTCCCAAGCATGACATTCCTATCCAAGGACTGGTCCTTCCCAATGATCTCTTCTGCATATAGATTTAAAAAGTATGGATGCATCCCTGACACACTCCCTTCCTGATTTTGAACCATGCAGTACCCTGCTCTGTTCTGAGACATGTTCTTGGCACCAGGTTGTGCCAAGAAATCTCGAGGAGAAATAGCTGGCCAACTGATTGGAAGAGATCAATATTTATTGCCATTCCAAAAAAAAGGTGACTTGACAGAGTGTGGAAATTATTGGAAAATATCACTCTTGTCACACTCAAGCAAAATCCTACTGAAAATTATCCAGAAATGACTGGAACAGTACATTGACAGAGAACTACCAGAAATACAGGCTGGGTTTCAAAGAGGCCGTGACAGTACAGTCATTACCGTCAACGTGAGATGGATTGTGGGAGAAAGCAAAGAGAATCAGAAGGATATCTATCTAAGTTTCATTGACTATGCAAAGGCATTTGACTGTGTGGATCACAACAAACTGGTTGACTTTGAGGAGAATGGGAATCCCAGAAAACTTGATTGTGCTTATGTGAAACAGAATGGTTGGTGGTTTGAATTTACTAGAAGCACAAGAAGGGCCTGGAGATGTTTCTGAACAGTCATAGTCAAGAAAGCACTATCGAACAGAACACGTTTCTACTCTTTATAACAGACAGTACCCATGAATCAGAATCAATTCAATGACAGCCGGTGGCATCTAACTTCATCCCTTGGGCTGTCACACAAAACCACACAGGCCAGTGTGCTGGGTGCCAGCTTCTCTAATATCTCTTTTTTTAAAAAGAATGTTTAAAAACATTCATGTTTATATTTTTTCTACTAGTAGACTTGGAAACAACCCCAGTGCCCTTCAATAGATCAATGGATAAAGAAAACTACGGTATTTCCACACAGTGGAGTACTATTAACAATTCTATAAATGAGAAGTGCCATTGCTATAGGCACTATTGAGCTGACCACAGCTTATAGCCACCTTAAGGACAGATCTGAACCCCACCCTAACCTGTGTCATTGTCATGATGGCCACGATGCTCAAGCCCATTGTTACAGTATCTGTGTTGGTCCAGCCGCTTAATGACCTATCTCCTTTGTGAGGACCCTCCACTTTTTCAAGCATAATCTCTTTTTCCAAGGACTTATTCCTAAATTTCACCATCCTTGCCTCTAAGGAGCACCCTGGCTGCACCTCATCCAAAACAGATTTGATTCTTTTTTCTTTTTTTTTTAAATTTTGTTTTGTTAATTTTACTGAACATTTACAGAGATTTTGGATTTCCATTCATTCTTTGTTGCACTTTTCTCCCTGCCCACCCCTCCTCACTCCTCTCTTTGAAAAGTAAAAGAAAAATTCTTTCATTGGTATACAATGCCCCAGCACCCTCCCTCCACCGCCCCAAGTACACTCCACTATGCAACCTTAATTCTTGACTCTTGTGATAACCATATTACCCTATCATATATCACTTTTAAATTGTTCTCTCCCTCATCTGTTTCAAAGCAGTATACATAATTTATCCAGTTTTTCTCAGTCTTACCCCAACCCCGATGTCAGTCCTGTTTTATAACAGTGGCACCATGCAATATTTGTCATTTTGTGACTGAGATATTTCACTCAGCATAATGTCCTCCAGGGTCACCCATTTTGAATAATATTGCATGAGTTCCTTGTTTTTCAATGCAGAGTAGCATTCCAGTGTGTGAATATACCGTTTGCTGTGTTTTTGTTTTGTTTTTGTTTTACTTTTTTTTTAAAATTTAGGTTGTTTATTTT